AAAATTTTTAATTACAACCGATGTTTATTACTTTTTTAACTTCACGTCAACAAATTGTATTCTAAAATTTCCTCCATAACTTGATACAAGTTATTAAGATATTTCTAAATACGGTACCAATTCCGGTTCCCATCAGTAGACCATATTGTGATTTAAAACGTTTGATGATGATTTATCGGAGGGCGTGGGGACAGGTCAAAATAGTGTCCTTACATCGGACGGTGGACAATCACACCAGTTTAAGCATGTAGCTCCAAGCAAAGCACCGCACGCACAAAAGGAAATTTACCTCACATGGCAGATCACGTGACTGACAGCCCATTAATATTAACCGAACTTTATGGCCCTGCTCCACTCCAAGGCGCTACCCGACGAATCATTGCCTGTGATGCCGCTGGCCCACATGCTCCCACACCTCTACATCAGCCATGTAAATCTTTCACATTATCATACATATAATTGGTATAAAAATAATTTTGCTCCTTAACACTTAAAATCTTTGTATAAATTTTTAGTTAAATCTAACCCTTATCCTTCAAAGAAATAAAAGTTGAATTGTTAATTTTCAACATAAATAATAACTAAATTGTTAAATATAATCATACCTAATAGTTCATGTATATTTTATGTATTTTTTACATTTTTATTTATAATTTCAAATTATTTATTGACATAATATGTAAGACTAATAATTTATTGTCATCATGAAACACATATAGACTATGGCATGGTGTGCCACATGTATTAACGTCTTTCCAATATTTTCCTTAAAAAGGGTAATTTGAATTTTTCTTAATGGTAAAAATCAATTTTAGGAGACTCGTCCACCATAGTTAGGTGTGCGATTCGAGTCCGTCTAAATTAATCAAGGCAAAACCTTAGAAATCAGAATGACAACAAAAAAGAATTCAATTTTAGCTCAAAAAAGAACAAGGATAAGTTTGAATAAAAGTATAAACATTAAAAGTTAAATTCATCTTTATACCTATATTATTTTATATATCGACGATGAATCGTACGCTAATATTTTGTTAAAAAAATATAAAAAAATTAAAAATTTGTTTTTAATTTATTTAATTATTGATATTTAATTTATTGATTAACTTTAAGGAATATTCTTTTAGTCTTAATTCTTATTAGATCTTAAATTCAATCATGAAAAATCCTCCCCTTATCTTTTCTTTATGAAAAAAACCCTTTCTTTAAAAGTCCTTTCCCCACACTCTAAAAATATCTTGACAATCATGGGGAAAAAAAGAAGTCTATTGACAAGCATCAACCAAGGAGTTCCCCCCCCCCCCTAACTTATAAGTGAAGCATGTCAACTTAGGTTAAAGTTTTGACCTAATAAACTTAGAATGAAAAGTGTATATTCATGTGCAGCTAATAAATAAAATGAGGGAAAAACACTTGTCATGGTCCATTTTGATGAGGTTGTCTACTAAATTGGCATAAAAATACAATTGGGATTTAGTCAAACACCCAAATCTAGCTTTCCACTATGACATAATTATGTTAGGAAATTTGTACCATGATGTTAAGCCTTACCTTATTTCATTGTACCATAATTTTGTCTATTGACTTTGAGGCATATATTATATGTCGGTTAGGTTTTCCCTTTCTTTCAAATTAAAAGGTTGATATTCTTGAATTATTGAATTTTATGTTTGAATCCACATAGTGTATGTGTGAGCTTGAAATAATAATTCTTAATTTAATTATAATGTTGTATGTTTGTATTGATTTATTTTTATATATATTTGTTACATAGGTCTATTAATACATTCATGATAAACTCAAAGGTTTCAAAGAGTAAAGTACCAGTGTCTCAACACTCTTTGATCTTTTGATTTTAGAGTGAAGTCATAGTCTTTAATACATTCTTTATATTCAGACTAGACTAATGTTGAATAATGTGGCCATCAATAACAATTTAAGTATTACTGGATTTTTTAGTAAAAAAAAGTATTACTGGTTTTACAATTTTTTTTTTAAAAAATATATACACGTGAAAACCCAATTTATTAGGTCAAATAACTAACCTAACATATACATGGATGAATATATGATTTTATATTAGAGTAAAGAATTTTAAAATTTTTAAAAATAATGAACTTATAAAATTTCAAGGCGACGAAAATAAATTTTCAATAGAAAATACTTAAAATAATTAGTTATTATGCTTTCTGATCACGCGATTGATCGAAACTCTCTATAATTAGTTATCATATTTTTACAATAATATTGTCGTTGAATGTTCAAGATTCCATCTCCTTACTTTCAAAACTAATCTTGGGGAGAGCCTAGAGAAGAAAGAGAAGGGTACGAAAATCTTGTATGACATAGAATGATTATTGTGACTTACTTTCAGATGTCGAGACATTGTACAACAACATGATTAAGAGTTTAATAATGGCGATAACCTCTAATTCAATGTCCGTAAAGCATTGCAGTTTGAAAATATTGTATAAGTCCAATTCCTAGTATATGCATTTTGTTTTTTTTATTGTGTCTTTTCCTTTTTAAGATGTTCTCTAGAAAGGATAGGAAAATAAAATCTCCAACGTTCGATGATATTTTCGTCTAAAAAATATAATGCCCGGTTATTAAAATTCTACTCGACAATATAATAAACACATTCATCAACATGCACAAGCGAGGTTAAGACTCAGTTAACATCTAATAGAACTACGTGGGTGCGAATAATAATTTAACATAGTTTTAGATTAGAATATTAAAGTTAGATACATCATGTTGATTGAATTATACATATGAAGAATTGAAACTTGAGATTGACCTTTCGGTTTTAATTTTTTCAAAAAGTCAGAAGGTCGGTTTGTGGGCCCCAAGTTTAGGGTCTTGATAGTATTTATTTTTATTTGTTTGGGCTCTTACAACTGAAAGTGACTTAAAGTTTTTTGGACTGTACTGCTCTGCTTAGTGGGGTGGGCTACCACTTAGGCCCACCATGCCCCCTTTTCTCAAATGTAAAGAGAAGATTGTACCTTTCTCCCCCCCCCCCTCTCGAACGGATTGAATCCTAGTTCGGTTGGTATGATTGTTATTAGAGATCAATATGAGTCGGATTAGGTAAGATTTTGATCGATTTAATGGTTCAAATTAATTCAGCTTTCACAATCTCAGTTAAGCTAAATCCAAAATTTAATTGCTTCATCTCCAACTCTCGAACAATGATTTGTAACTTTTTCAAAAATAAGTTAAAGCAACCTTAAATGATCATTCTGGTCATTAATTTTTTTAAAAAAATATAAAATATTTATTAAAATCAAACTGTTATAAAATGGTCATTGTAATACTGTTGTGTGTAATTTTTTATATAAAATTTAATGGTATTTTTTAAAAATCCGATAAATCTAATGACCATTTTATAATTTTGAAAAATTCAATGACTAAAATGATTATTTTAACGTAATTCAATAATTTCTAATACACTTTATTACTTTTAAAATATCATTTAAGTACGTTGGTAAATTTAAGTTAATTTTAGATTGAATCAATTAATTGTTCCTTGATCATTTAGGGTTAAAATTTGTTTAAATTTAAGTCATTGAATCTATTAATTATTTTTTTAATAGAATTATTTAGAGTTTTGTGATTTAGATTTAGCATTCTGAAAAAGAAATTGGCCCACTAAAAATGAGAAAATAAACAGCTGGGCAGAAACCCATTGATACACTGAAGTCGGGCCTAAACAAATATACAACGCATTTAAACAACGGAACATGGAGCCCAACGAATTATTTTCCCAATTCACGAAACGTGATAAATAAGGGTAAAATACACTGGAGTTCAGTGAACTTTGTAAAAAATAATATATTTGATCAATGACCTTTTAATTAGGGATGGGCATCTAACCCGAACTCGACGGGTTTCGACCCGACCTGACTTGATCGGGTCGGATTTTTCTAAAAAAATTTCGGGTTCGAGTCGGATCGGATTTTTTTATGTGGTGTTCGGGTCGGGTCGGGTTCGGGTTTAGGGTGAAAAAAATCCGAATCGACCCGACCCGGAAAAAATATATGTAATTTTACCCTATATATTTAGGAATAATTACAATAATACCCCTTCATATATTATTTTTTTTTCAATTTAGTCATTGTTTTTATTGAATAAAAATAATTTTTATTATTATTTCGGGTTGGGTTTTTTAAACTATAAGTTGGGTCACGGGTAGAGGTCCCCTTCTTCTCGGGTCGGGTGGACCAAAAACCCGACCCATGCCCATCCCTACTTTTAATGGTTATAAATTGGTTATTAAAATTTAGGCTTGACGTTCTCAAATATTTGAAAAATAAATAAATTGAGTTCTTATTTGTTAATTTAATTAAACACTCAAATTAAGGAATAAAATCAATTAAGTCATTAAACTAAGAAAACAAATCAATCGATCAATTTTAACCTTTAAATTTTAACATTTTTTTAGTTATTTAAATCATGTGGAATTTAAATATTTTAAAAGATTTTTTTAAAGAAAATTGTTAAAGTTCTAAAATAATTTTAAAATTTCTAAAATCTATCTCATGACCACTTAACTATTGGTGAATTATATTTTGATCATTGATATTTTAATTTTATCAATAAGATCATTTAGTTATTTAAATGATGTCAATCAATTCATATGTCGTTCACATTTGTTAACATTTGATAGAGGATTTTTTTAAACGAATGATCATTTTTTTGAATTAAATTAAATTTAAGATCAAATTGATATGATGTATAAGTAATAAAAATCAAATATATTATTATAACAATTTTATTAACTATCATGTCAACTCCACAATATTAGTGAGTTAATTGGCATTTTAAATAGTTAAATAATTTGTTTGATAAAGTAATAGATCATTGGTCAAAATAAAATCTATTAATAATTAAATAGTCATGGGTGTAATTTACCATAAATTAAACTCGGAGCCCTAGCATTTGTTCTCTCTCTCTCTCTCTCTCAAACCTTCCACTTTCGTTTCCTATATCTATTTTTTTTTTTTCGAAGAAAGATTGACAAAATAAAAAAAATGGCAGCATTTGGAGCAAAACGAGTTCTATGGCGAAGCTTTTCAACTGTTGCTTCTCATCCATTACGTGTCTGCATCGTTGGAAGCGGTCCCGCCGGCTTCTACACTGCCGAAAAGGTTCTTAATTTCTTATGTTAAATCAAACTCATTTCGATTAAGATTATCTGGTTTTAGTTCTCCAGTTTTTTCTAACTTGAATTAACTCACCAGATGTTGAAGACGCATCAAGGATCGCAAGTTGACATTATTGATCGATTGCCTACGCCGTATGGATTGGTACGATCTGGAGTCGCGCCTGATCATCCCGAAACTAAGGTCTGTTCAATTTATTCATTTATTTATTTTAGAATATTGTTCTTAGTTAAGCTTGGTATAGTATTGGTGTAACTCTTGCTACAGAATGTGATTAATCAGTTCTCTCGGGTTGCACAAAGTGGACGGTGTTCGTTTTTGGGGAATATTCCTCTTGGATCTTCCATTTCTCTGTTGGAGCTTCGGGAGCTTTACCATGTTGTAAGGCCCTAGCATACTGAATATGTTGTTATGTTTTTTTTGCCGGCTGAAACAGAGTTAATGAATAGTGGATTTAATCCAACAGGTTGTGCTTGCTTATGGTGCGGAAAGTGACAGAGTTCTAGGTATTCCTGGCGAAGTACGTGAATGGAAATTAAAATTTTCTTGATACACTTTGATTTTTTTTAATGATTTTGAATTTGGGAAATGGCGGCTGTTTTTCATAATTTTATATATAAATCAATCTTTTTTATATAGTATCTAAAAGGAGTACATTCAGCTAGAGAGTTTGTTTGGTGGTATAATGGGCATCCGGATGGAAGAAACTTGGACCCTGACTTGAAGAGCCCAGATACAGCGGTTATCCTTGGTCAGGTACTTTGTCTTTTTATAGATTATTATGAAGATTTCTTAACTAATTTCTTATAATCAATTAAGTTACAGAATTGGGAGTAGTTGAGTAGGTATATGGCTGCAGTTGGATAGAGTCCTAACTATAGGGAACCAAAGAACATGAAAAGTATTTGTGAGGTATTAGTTGGTTCCGAGTTCTATACTGATCATCAAATAGTGCTCGACTGACTGTTTTTCAGGGCTTCTCTACATGCCTTTGTATCTGTTGAGGATGTATTCCCTGTGTTAGATTTATGCAACCTTCTATGTTTGAGCCTGTAGAAATGTCTAGTTTGTTAATTTGTACTTTGCAGTGATGCCAGTTAGTCTTACTTTTAATCATGCAATGCAAATCCATTATTATCAATGCTTTTCCATTCTGCACTTCTATGTATGGATTTGATCCCTGATGTATATATATATGTAATTACGATTATTAACTTTTCAGGGTAATGTAGCTCTTGATGTTGCTCGTATCCTCCTACATCCAACATCTGAATTGGCAACCACTGATATTGCCAGCCATGCTTTGACTGCATTGGAACAAAGCTCTATAAGGTTTCTCACCTCTTTCCTTAAAATTAATTGCATAAATCTTTTAGCGTTCTGTCAGATCTTTAAGTCAATTTTGTTGCAGGAAAGTATATCTGGTTGGAAGACGTGGACCAGTCCAAGCAGCTTGTACTGCAAAAGAGCTTCGGGAAGTTCTTGGTAATTCCTTTGAGACTGGGCCTATTTGGATGCTTTTGTTTCTTGAGCAGGATGTCTAGAATACTCTGTTTGGCTAGAAATATGAGATGCTGCTAAGGCTGAACTAAAGTTTCGCTCACAGTAGAATTTCCATCGGCAGACTGATAATTCCATTTTTGAATTGATGGTGTTGGCCATTTCGTGTGTATTTGTTAACCTGAACTTTGTTTTGAAGTTGGACATGAAATTCTTAAAGATTTAATCATTTTGGCAGGTATTAAAGATTTGTATATTCACATAAAAGAAGCAGATTTGAAGATAACCCCAGCTGATGAGGTACATTTTACCATCAAATGCTTGCTGGATTTCGAAACTAGTGTCCACAATGGTGGTCCAATATTTTCTATTTTAGGATATTTTTTTAGGGGTGGGGGTTGTGGATAGGAAGGGGTTTGGGACTAGTCCTTGGACTAAGCAATAAGAGGTATTGTTTCCTACCTCTCTTCCAAGGTTTGAAGTTGAGAGTTCTTGTTATAACAGTTGGGTATCAGCAAGGGGACATTGTTAGATCATTTTTGTCACTTAAATAATTTGTCGAAGAGGTTCCACCTGTCCTTTCATTTGCTTCAGCTTTTCATATTTTCTTCATCTATATGCTATTCCTTTTTTTATGAAGGAAGAAATGAAAAACAGCCGTATTCATCGGAGAATTTATGAGTTGCTCTCTAAGGCAGCAACTACTGGACCTTCCCAACCTAGTACAGGTCAACGTGAACTTCATTTTGTTTTCTTCCGTCAACCTGATAGATTTCTAGAATCATATGACAAAAATGGATATGTTTCCGGGGTGAACCTTGAGAAGACAGCTCTAAAAGGTATCTCGCTCTCTTCTGGTCTCTGAAAATTATCCAATGTATGTGTTCTCTATCTCTCATATGCAAATTTGTGGACAGCACTGTATTTAGAGACCATCTACATGGATCTTTTTAAAGTTGTGAAATAAATCTAATACATAGTTTGGTAACTTGATCATGACTTCATTTTGTAGGTGTTGGCTCTGGAAAACAGATTGCCATAGGTACTGGACAATTTGAAAATCTTTCTTGTGGGTAATTTCTTTCTTTTTCTGTTCTCTCTCATCTCTGGATATCAAGCAGTGATTTTTAAAACATACAATTTCCATCTACAACATTGATGTTGCCCCCCCCCTTTTCTTTATAGTGATTGACCCGCTTTCTCAATGATGTTTAACAATGAGTTGGAACATCCTGAGAGAAGTTAATATAACATTTTTATGGAACTGTGAAGTTACATGTTCTTCTTGCAGGATTGTGCTAAAGAGTATTGGCTATAAATCAGTGCCGGTGGATGGTTTGCCGTTTGATAATCAGAAAGGTAAAGCAAAGGTATTGCTTAACTTTTATTATTTCCTACATTGTTTTGTTGTCAGCTAGCTATATGGCTTACCTTTCTTAACAAATGTGAAAAGAAAAAGCTTATCATGCTATATTTCTACAGGTGTGGTTCCAAATGTTAAAGGTCGAGTTCTAAGTGATAATTCTGGAGATCCTACATCAATTGAGAATGGCTTGTATGTCTGCGGGTGGCTGAAGAGAGGACCGACCGGCATTATTGGTACAAATCTTTACTGTGCCGAGGAAACTGTAAGTTACCTCACGCCCTCTTTACCTAAACAAATATAACAATGGGAAACTTTGTTTGATTTTAAAGTATTAGTAGCCGTTGCTAAGTGCACAATTGTTATGGTAGGTTGAAAGTGTATCAGAAGATCTCGAACAAGGTGTCTTAGCATCAACAAGCAGCCCTCCGAAACTTGGAAGAGACGGGCTCCTCCGGATGTTGGAGGACAGAAATGTCAGAGTTGTACCATTCGGTGGTTGGGAAAGAATAGACAATGAAGAGAAGAGATTAGGGAATTTGAGAAATAAACCCCGGGAGAAACTGACAAGGTGGGAGGAGCTACTGGAAGCTGCCTCTGAATGAATGTGCCCTTTTACCTTACGTATCCTTTCCCCTCAAACTTTATATATGTATACGGAAGGGAAAATAAGTATATTGTGTTGCCCCTTGATAATTTGTTGGGCTTGAAGGGAAACTAACTTCTTTAATTTTCTCCAGCATTTTTGAAACAAAATAAGGAAATATGTCAAATTGAATTGCCGTTGATACGTTGAATTGTTAAAATGAAATTTGAGCTGTGAATTCTGTTTATACCGTGTTGTTAAAAAATATTAATTCTACCTACTTCATTCTATTAAACCATATCATGTGTTTAACAATAATTAGATTTTCACAAAAATTCTTTTGAGCAATTTTGACAGATTTATATTTAACATTGAAGGCTCATTTATTAAAAGAAATTTTTAAACCAAATCAATTTAAGAGTTGAGGCGATGTCGATATTTGCGAATGGAAAAAAATAAATTGAGCATTGAGTTTCGTTTAGTGATTCATGCGGTAGCAAGATTAAGAGAAAATAAGACAACTTCTAGAACAAATGTTCTGTATTTTCAAGGAATGGATAATACAAACGAGACGGGGAAGATCTCAATTTATAGTTAGGTCTTTTCATAATAAATAATACTACAAATTAAATTATACCAATAATTAAGATGGAAGTATACTTATCGCATACTAACTAATCAAGAAAATTATATCAAATCTGAAATAATTTCTTTAATATTGTGTTTATATACTTATCCTTTAGAATATGATCTATACATAGATTTATTCTAAATTAATCGATTCATAAATAAGATAATTTAGATGTTAAAAAAATTTAAACAATATTTTGAAAGATCGACACAAGTTTGGATGTAATCCCAATTCTTCTGTTTAATCTCTCGTAAAGAGAAGGGAATTCCTGTTAAGCTGCAAAACAAAATTTTCAATAATTAAATGTCCGTTTTAAGGGTGACGTTTAAGGGTCTAATTGTGATTTTAGTCCTCCCCATATGTTTAAATTTGAGATGTAACCTCCTTTATTTTAATTTAGTATCATTCAATGGCTTTATCTTTATAATATTATTAACGTGTCTAAATTGATAGTACAATTAGTTGTTGCCATTATAAGAGATGATGGGGGAAGGGCTTCCGCACATAGGGATCAAAACAATAAATCAGGTACAAACGTGCTTGAAATCCACAGGAGAGGTTACCTCTAGACCAATAATATTTTGTTGATCAACTTAACCAATAGTAAATTTGTATGTCATCCGAATGTTTTAGATTGTTTTAAAAATAGAAACTCTCTAACAATGGTAACTAAAAACGTTATCAATTTAGATCTACCAGTAACATTATAAAAGTAGGGATCAGATTTATGCCAAATTAAAATTTCAATATACTAGACCAATTTTGAAGCTAACGTAGTATTCAACGCATTAAAACCGCGCGTAAGAGTAAGATTTTTTATTGTCAAAGGCAGTTTATAAAAAGAGCTGTAAAGTGGACTATTTAGGCCAAAAAATAGGATAAACTATTTTCTAGTCACCCACTTATTATTTATTTTTTGTTTTTATCATTCAAACATTATTTATTTTAAATCATACCTAGCATTACATTTTGGTTATGTTTTGATCACTCGTTTTTAAAAAATTAATGGTGATGTTAGTGTGTCATCATAAGATAATGTCACATCAGGATTGAAAAATAATTTTAAAAAATGTTCATTGAACTGTTCGTGAATCGTTCTCATAACGTTCGTTTATGTTCGTTTGTTAAGCTAAATAAACGAGTATGAACAAATTTTTTTATGTTCATTTGATAAACGAACGAACACGAACAAATGTGTGTTCGGTTAATTTATGTTCACGAACAAGTTCATTTATGAGCTCGTTTACCCGGTTCTTTTTTTTTACATTTTAAATATTGCTGAAGGTATAGACTAATTGAACACATTATAAAAGTTAAAATTTAAATTATAAATTTTAAAGAGTTTAAGCACTAGTGTTATAATTTTATTATTTTTCTTTAACTTGAAAATGAAAGGACAAAATTCAAAGTTAAATATATAAACAAACAATAAACAAACAATAAATAAAATATTGATGAACACAAAACGAACACGTGCGTAAACATTAAATAAATATATTCACAAACAATAAATAAACAAAAACAAACTTCTTAAAAAAAAATAAATTAAAATAAACATACCTTGTTCGTTCAATCTCCGTTCATTTACACCCCTGTATATGATTCTGATTCTCTTCTGATTGTGCCGCAAGTGAAAAAGCTTAGAGCTTTGCAAAGCTAAAAACCATAAATCTCTTTTGTTTTCCTCTCTTAGTTTGACAAATGTATTAGTTTCAAATGGGTAGCAGTTACTCTGGTGAACCAAACATTGGAAATGAAAGGGGACGAGTGTCTTCAAGGAAAGGCAAGAAGAGTAACTCAGTCAAGCCTAGGGCACCCCAGAGAGGGCTTGGTGTTGCTCAATTAATTGGAGATGCTTAGATTGCATGAACAACTGGGTTGTGGTTATCATCCTTCACTTTTCAATCAGGTATGAGCAAACTAATTCTGGGTTTCTTTTGGTTGTTTCATGGGAAGGTTAGAGATATCAAATTCAGATAGTTTGTGGGAACAGGGAAGAATTCTTTGAAGTTAAAATAGAAATATTTTCTTCTTTGGTACGTACAGGAAGATATGAGAGTGCAGCAAACTGCAGCTTATTATTCATCTATGGTGGCATCTTCTTCATGCTCATATTCATCATCCTCATCAACTTCCTCTGCTTCTTATGGTTTCCACCCCAGCATAATGGTGGGTGGACCTGTTCTTGCCAATTGAGTGCATCTTTGACATGATTTTCTATGTGTCACCCATTATATATACATGTATGTATGTTTTTTTTATCATCACCATGATCACAGCATAAGTTGTGCTTTACTTCTTGGTGTACTAACCCTAGATGCCTGTTTTGCCCCAGGAACTTAATCTTCACCGCTTCTCATACATATCAATATGACTAATTGATTGATTGCTTATGGTTTTTACCTAATATTATACAGATGGGGCTAGGTGAATATGATCAAAGAGCAAACATCAATTATGGTGATTCTCAACATAGTACAACAGCAAGGCGCATAGATGCTTGTTTTCTAGTCATAGATGCATTTTATTTTGGCTTCTAAGTGATGTTTCCAGTTCATTTGTAACACAGTTGGAACCCCAGCAGTAGCATCTTGGACAGCCAGCTTTATGCACAACACAACATGACCAGACAGCTTCTAAATGTTGAGGTCCTATACACACACACACACACATACATATCCTCTTGTAATTTGTATATATCTACTTGAAATAGTTATTGTTGCTTCTTTTTCCTATATATTTTGCAGGATTCACAACCCCAAAAGAGCAAGAAACACAGGAGCCCATTGGGATCCAGTAGTCAGAATTCTGAATCAAGTGAAACAAAAGAGCTGGCTTTGGAGCTCAGATTATCACTGTAAAATCAGTAATATTTGTACCACTTATAAATGCATGTATTGCATCTTATGATTTCCTATGCTCAGGTTTTCATTTGAAAATGCATCTTGTGTGGTTTGATCTTTTTGTTCATTAGTTTTCTAGGGAAATGAAGATCCAAGTCATGATTAAATCCAATTAGTCCTATTGTTAAATAGTTAATTAGTGACTTTATAGAGTGTTTGTTTTGTGTTTAATTTGAAGTTGGGCAAAGGTATCTTGTAGTCACTGAGGTCTGCTTTGTAGAGTGTTTGTTGCTGTCTCATGACTGTAGTTGTAATGACTTGATCACGGTGCACTCTTTTTCCTCTATCCAAGGATAAAGAGGTTTTTTAAATAGGCCCATGCTCTCTTCCTGTTTTGTATGCGTTGCCAATTATACAATATAAAAGCCTTTTCAAATAAATAAAAATAAAAATTGGTGACTTTATTGAACTGCTGTTAAATAGTTGATTAATCATGATTAAATAGTTAATTTCTACCAAACACCTATTAAGATAATTAATTCGTTTAAATTTCAACATTCACAACCTCTTTATGTATTCCAGACTGTAATTTCTTTTGTAAAAATGACTACTCTCCATGAGTAAGCCCGTATATATATCTTCTGATTTTGGCATGGATTTGAGTTTAAATAAAACAAACAAAGGTCAATAGCCCATATTTTGTTTTTCATCATTCAAAGAGAGATTAATAAGAGATTTATTAATTATAATAAGATAAATTATAAATCTCATCAATCAACTTTGATTATATTCTTAAAAAAATCTCTCTAAAAGTTTTCTTTTAAATTTATGAAGAGGAATAGATGAGAAATATATATTGATTTTACGATGATTACACGACGAAAATTGTAGATCGATGTCTTTGTTTATTTTTTGGGTTTACGTTTTGCTAATTTTAAAGAGAATTAAAAAAATCTAAATTGATAGAGTGACATGGACGATGAGGTGAGTTCATCGATGTTTGGAATAACCGGATAAGATGTCAAAGAACGATAGTGTCGACTGTGACATGAGATGTGGATGAAACTATAAGAATTTTAAAGTTGGGAAGACGGTGAAATTGAAGGACAATAAATGAGGCGACTTCCACGTCAATTGAAAACATGCCACACCACTATGGTGTTTCTGATTTAACGCTCGGATTATGAAAAGATGAAACAATTCAACAATTAAGTGATCAAATTAAATAAAATTTTTGATCGAAATATAAATATAATCAAAGTTGAGCGATGAAAATCATAAATCACCCATACAATAACCCTATGGACAATACTTCTTAAATGGGAAAATGGGAAAATGAGAAAATGCAAAGTGATATTTTCCCAAAAGAGTAAGGTACAGGGTCCTTTGTGCATCTTTCAGGAATAGGAAGTAATAGGGATATGTACCCTTTCATTGCAGAGTCAAAAAGTATGATCAAATCATTGCACTATTTGTTTGGCCTTATCACTACCATAAACCACATTAATGTTTAAAATAAATCAACCCTAAATATATATATATATATATAACAAGGTTTATAGCCATTGGATTCTCCTTTAGTTCTATATTGACCTAATTCATCTACCGTACACGTCTGTACATCCTTTACGAGTATCCATCGAGTCCCTAGCCAAGGAAATAGTCTGGGAAGGCATGTGCACGCCCTGCAAATTTGCCTACTCCTCAGCTATGACCATATATGGCTTCTTTTACATGTTATTTTTATTTAACAAATCTATCATCTACTCGATTGAGTGTTGATTTTGTTGATTTGAAAATTATAAAGAGGGAATGAATTGGTGTTTTAAGTTCTTTTAGCTAAATCATTGGGTATTGATATAAAAATAAATATGATTCGTTTATAATGGTTCGATGTTTCAAATATCTACTTTCATTATCTTAGTTTTTCACATTTCATTAACTTAGAGTTGAAGATTTAAAAAAAATATTTAATCTTTACAACATTATCTTTTCACGGTTTATTTATCTTCAAAATTTTTAATATAAGTGACTAAAATAAAACTAGCAGTTAAACTGTTTTGAGTGTAAACACTAATATTGTCTTTGTTTATTCATCAGGGCAAAAAATAAAACTCAAATTAATCTTAAATTATCTTAAGCATATTCGACTATTCAAACAAAACTTCAAACTCAAAATCAACCCAACCTAATGTGATGCCCGTTTTTAACCCCAAGTCAACCTAACTTGATACCAAAATGCAACTCGGAATCAATCTACTCAACCTGTATGCTTTCCTACTTGACAGGATCTCCATCCCACATAAACTCTAGTGAACCCTAAGTGTGTTTGGTTCACGGAATGTAAGATTACCAGTGGGAATAAAAGATTACCAGGAAATAGGATTATTGGAGATGTTGTATTTTTGTGTTTAGTTGGTTTAGCAGGAATATAAGATTATCGTGTTTGGTTAAAGGAATAAAATATTATTGGAATGTATATTTGACCAAATTGTCCTTATTATATATTTGTTTTTTAACAAGTTTAAAAAATATTTATATATTTTCTTTAAAAAATTTAAATTCATAAAATTTATATAATTTTTTTACAAAATTGAAAATATAAAAAGGTTTAATGAAAGGGTAAAATTTTATTTTAACCCCTGAACTTCATATAAAATTTTAATTATAGATTTTTTTTGTAAATCTAAAATAGTTTAAGGATAAATTTGTAATTTAACCTTCGTAGAATTTTTATTATTCAATGACAGAATAAAGATATTTTTGAAAGAATTTTTTAAGGGCATTTTAGTCCAAAACGCCCGTAATCCAACAATACCTAAGGAAAGAGAGATAATGACATTCCCGATAATATACCCAAAAAAATCAACTATTGGTAATGTAAGATTACCGAGAATGACATTCCCGGCCAACCAAACAGGAGAATGTGAATTTCATTCCTATGAGAATCTCACATTCCCCCAACCAAACACACCCTAACTGACATAACCCCAGTACTCTTATCCCAAAATCCAATCACCAATCAATTCAAACCCTAGAATTCTACTTGAATTTAAACGAAAAATGATCACGTGCAATAATCTTAATATACGGTTAAAAAAAAGTATTATCGGTTTTGTTATTATTTAAATAACAAAACCGGTAAAAATTATTGGAAACATTATTATTTCTACCGGTTTTGTTATTATTGGGCGCTTTACCAGGTTTGGTAATATATCTAGTAGAAAAATAATGTTTTAGGTAACGTTTTACCAGATATATTATCAAGCTCGATAAAGCACCAAATAATAACAAAATCAATAGAAATAATAATATTTTATGTAATTTTTTATTGGTTTTATTATTTAAATAATAATAAAATTGATAATGATTTTTTTAACCGTATATTAAGAGTGACGTACTGTAGAACTTCCCGATTGAAACATCATCTCCTTATCCTACAAAATCCGATATCCTCAACCTCCCACCAACCGGATCTTCACCAATTCGAACCCTAAAAATCTCGTTTAGTCAGGTTAACGGGTTAGGTAAACATGTTGTTTGGGTTACGTAAACATTTTGGTGTCTATGTTAATTTAGTGGGCCAGACAAATTTGATCATTGGATTTTTGATTTAACTGATTTTAGTACCTACAATATATATATATATATATATATATATATATATATATATATATATTATTTTGATTGATATGATATAAATACAAAAAATATATGTTTAAAAATTCTCAATCATTTAATATTAAACGTTCACATCTTTATATATGTGGTACTCGAGTCCGAAAATATATACTCCTGCAACATATACATTAGAACATTAATTAATTAGAGAAGTTTCAAACAGACAAAATTAGAGAAATCATCATTAATTCAATGAATGCGAATTGCCTGCCATTTTGGACCGTTTAATATAGTAATTGAGACAACGACCCCGGGTTGGTGTTTTTGTTTGAACTTGCACCATGTGTTTGGTCAGTCTTCTTAATAATTCAATATATAAAATCCTTGATAGAAATTAAATTAGGCCAAAATCGAGAGTTTCTTTTAATGGGTAGAGATGGAATTTAAAATATTTTGAACGGACTAAATTAAATTATTAAAATTTTAAACGGACTAAAAATACAAACGTCCCATTAATTAAGAACCAAGACCCCTACCAATTAATTAAAAAAAAGACCCCTACCAACCTCTCCCTCAACAAGATTACAAACACTGCGGACATTAACCAATAATGTCCACAACATTCCGACGGTTATTTAAGCAGATTTGAAAACGTTAGGTTTTCATTTGATCGTTTTGAAAGATTAGGTTCTTATTTATATATTTATTGGTAATAAAGGACAAACTAAGAAAACATAAAACCTTATATAAGTAATTCTTAAAAAATAGATTTAAACTGATATTTAAGATTTTTTATTATTTTTGTTCATTTATATACTTGAATTAAAATTTAAAATTCAATTTAGTATCTAACTTTTTTTTTGTCTAATTAGATATTGAACTTAGCTTTTTGGATCGCAGATGTATAAATATTTTTTTAGAGTGAGTATATATTTATTAACAATACAAAATTTATAGAAGATATAAGAAATTTCAGATTATATGATGGATACAATCAGTAAAATTTGATATTTCAAAATGGGAACATCGCTATAATAGATAACTAACAAAATAAAATTTCAATTCTAGGGCGGGCAAGTTATATGTGCATCCGCCACTACTTGGATCAAATTAATATTTGAACAACTTTTTTTATCCAAATTTGTACTTACAGTAACTGACTATATGGATCAAGAAGCTAGGTATAAGTACCAATTTGAATAAAAAATCCAAATTGAGATACTTAATTGGACTGGAAAAAAGTTAGGTATCAAATTGAACATCAAATACAAATTTAGGTACCAAGATGTATATTTACCCTTTAAACTTCTACCTACCCACTTTTTTAATTTCGCGCGAATCCATTAGCTTCAGTCAACGAGCTTTCTTAACATACCGTAAAACCCCAAACTACCCCTCTATCCATTTTAAATTTATGTTTATCCTCTTTTAGTTTTATTTATTTATTTTATTTCCTCTCAGAGCACACGCTGTTCGTTTCTGTCGTCTGTTGTCGAGAGTCTCCACCTGTTTGTGGTTTCAGTTTCTTAAAAGAATAAAAAAAAAAGGAGATAAAATCTGAGGAAAAAAACAAGTACTTATAAAAAATTCATTTGAATCTCTTTCTCTAGCTTTGATGATCTGATTGATCGAATCCATTGATCCTATTGAAGCATGGAACGGATCGTTGGTGGCAAATTCAAGCTCGGTCGAAAGATCGGCAGTGGATCCTTCGGTGAAATTTTTCTCGGTTCGTCTCTGCTCGATTTCTACTTTTTTTTTTATTATTTGCGTATGTATATGTTTTAAACTGATTTATTAGCATTATGATTTTTGTTTCAACAGCTACGCATATCGATACGTTTGAGATTGTCGCTGTTAAGATCGTAAGTTTCCTTCAATGATCGTTAGATTCGTGATCTGATTATCGTTTAAGCTTCTTGCGGTAGAAATGACGGCTAAAATTGAAAAATCACTTGTTTCTAGAAGTGAAAAGGATTATGGTTACTAATTTGATTTTGGCGGTTATAGGAGAACAATAGAACAAAGCATCCGCAACTGCTTTACGAAGCAAAGCTGTACAATATTCTACAAGGAGGAAGTAAGTGTTGTACTAGTTCAACTTAATCCAATTATTGAATTTACTTTGATTTTACAGCTGTGGAACAGAATCGTTTTTTTTATGATCTTGATTAATCCATAGGTGGAATTCCAAGCATAAAATGGTCAGGTGTCGATGGTGAAGATAATGCACTTGTTCTCGATTTACTTGGGCCGAGTTTGGAAGATCTTTTTGTGTACTGTGGCAGGAAGTTTTCATTGAAAACTGTCTTAATGTTGGCTGATCAAATGGTGAGTTAAATTTCATTTAAGTTTGTGTTTTTGTTCGGTTTATTTTTGGCTATGAATTATTACTTTATTTTGTATTCTGATGGTTGAATCCTTTTAGATTACAAGAATTGAATATGCTCATTCCAAGGGATTTCTTCATAGAGATATAAAGCCTGATAACTTCCTCATGGGACTCGGTAGGAAAGCAAATCAGGTTTATATAATTGATTTTGGGCTTGCAAAAAGATATCGAGACTCAACAACTAATCGCCATATTCCGTACAGGTAGTTTTGGGTTTAGTTTGTTATTTGTGACTTGCTCCTGTGTTTCTTTGGCTTGCTAGATGTAAACCAGTTTTATGACAGTTGTGTGATATGTCAGTCTTGAATTGCTGTTACCGACATAATTAAATTTGCTTCTTACAGAGAGAACAAGAATTTAACAGGGACTGCACGTTATGCCAGTTGCAATACTCATCTTGGAATAGGTAAGGACTTCCATCTTTTTATGTAATTTCCATTCATCAAGTTGAACTAAACACACATTCATTTACTTGGATATTTTGCCTAATGCTTTTTTCATAGAACAAAGTCGACGTGATGATTTGGAGTCACTTGGCTATGTACTTCTATATTTCCTCAGAGGAAGGTAAACAACCTTTTTCCGGTGCTTTTAAGGCAATATTTTGGTATTTGTTTCTGTGTATTAAGCTGATCAAAATGTGTATGATATAGTCTTCCATGGCAAGGTTTGAAAGCTGCCACAAAGAAGCAGAAATATGATAAAATATGTGAGAAGAAGGTGTCCACTCCTATTGAGGTATGACTATGTTTTATATATCTTTCAGTTCTATGTTGTGGTTCAAGAATGATTTGATTAACATGACTATTGTTTCCTTTGACTTTTGTTGATCAAGGTTCTATGTAAGTCTCATCCTGTGGAATTTGCATCATACTTCCATTATTGCCATTCGTTGACATTTGATCAACGACCTGATTATGGATTCTTGAAGCGTCTTTTCCGTGATTTGTTTGCTCGTGAAGGTATTGTTGTATGCAATTTAACTTTCAATTCTTTAAGAAGAGGTTTTTGAGTTCTGTAGCTTCTACAATGACCATTTCCTTGGTTGAATTGTTCAATGCCTGTCTCACTTGGCCATCATAATTAGCTTGTGCTATACTCTTTTATGTCTTCTATGTTATGGAAGGACTCATTGTTTCAAAGCATGAGACTTAATCAACGTTACTGAAGAAAGTGATTGCGATCTGAGGTGATTTCCTTTGAAATTCCTGGTTTAACTAATTTTTGGTTCTATTTTGTTAAAGGTTATGAGTTTGATTACATATTTGACTGGACTATCATCAAGTATCAGCAAGCGCAGAAAAGTAGATCTCAGCTCCGATCATCTGTTAGTATCTTGCTTATTTTCTTTGAAACTTACAACAAAATTTGTTCTTGGTTGCATTTAGTGTTGTATATATATTTTGGACCTGCCTTAGTGATTTGGCATTTGTATCCTTTAATGGGAGATTTGTTCTTTCTGATAAGATAATATTTCCCCAAATTACAGCCAGCTCCTGGAGGTAGCAGCTTTCATCCAATACCAGTGGATGTGAACAATCATCAAGGTTGGCTCCTGGTGATGCATTTTTTGCTCAAATGACTGGATCGTATATTTAGGGATTTATCTGTTAGATAAAGGATTTTAGATGACATGTGATAAGCTAAAAGGAGAGACCTAATTTGCATAAAAGTCGAGATAGGGTTGATATGTAAAATCATCAAATATCTTTGTTGTAGAGAAATTTCAAATGCTGCTATTATTGATGTTGGTTTTACTAGGAAATAAATAGGATTTGTGTTTGCTTAACTGCCAGGAGGTTTCAATCCGACTTACTTGGCTGATATTACAGGCATTAAATCAAGCAATGTTTCGGGTCCAGGTGGACACATGCAACTTAAACAAGCAACAGGAAAGAACTTGATTTCTGATAGTAATGTTGGTAAAAATGTAAGTTTGTGATCATATTTCAAAATAAGAAGGAAAATTTATGCCGACTATTTTTGTTTGTGTAGACATTTATGGATACAGTTCTTTATTGTTTATTTATCTTAATTAGGAATCATTCTTGTGCTTTTAGATCTTGGAATGCATTCTAGCTTCATTTGCGTTATTGATTTTCATGTTTGGTTTGGCAGATTTTTTACCCTCATACACCCTCATCTTCATTTGCACCTACTGGCACCTCGAAAAGAAATGGGCTGAAGTCAACATTGCCCAATGAAGCTGCCAATTCTGGGCTTGGGCATGGAAATAAAATCGGTCCTTCCAGTAGTTGGATTTCGTCATTGCAACGCACTTCATCCGCCAAATGATGAAAATGGTAATTTTCTATTGAGTTGGACTTTAACTGAATGCAATTAATGCTCGGTATACTGGCATTACAGACCAAATATTCACAATATTACTCTTTAGCTATGATTCTGAACAAGGGATATTCTAGTTATGCATCTACGGAGTCGATTAATTTTGGTGCTTTCATGTCATGTCATGCTTTTCTACTAGAGAGATTCTAGTGTGCAGTTATGTGTCATAATGACCCAAATAGCATATTTTATATCTATGAATTTTAATAAATGTGAATCTTGTGTGAGGCACTACGTTCTACCCATTAGGTATTTCGATTTCATTTTGACATTTGATAGGCACAACAGTAAGCACTCTTTTTCTTCACATGAGTTTCAATTCTATCCGTTCCCTCAAAGGGACTCATCTATGTCATGGAATATCTTGTTTCACGTTTTCTTCATGCTCCAGTTGTTTTCTCAGTTCAATTTCTTGCTTCTAATTCGCAGGATGCATTTCTGCCTACAATATATATCCCTAGATGCTACAAGTTAACATGGAAAATCTAGATAAGGGCTGCTTGAAGAGAAACTATATATGGTTTGATATCTTGCCTCGAGTCAGTCGATTCTGCAAAAATATCAAGTTTTTACCTTCGATTGTGATTTGATTCTGGCGGAAGGGGTTAGCAGTGCCGGATGCAAGTAGTGTTTCCCACCCTGAAATTTAAATTTATTTCGGTTAGTTATTTATTTATTGATCGTGCATACAATGAATTTTATTTGTGCCTACCCTCAAACAATAATTTTATATAGTTAATATATGTGTGTCCATCTTCAAGAATATTATTGGATCCGCCGTGGGAGATTAGTTTATTTCAATCAACATATTATCTGAGATAGATCGAAATGTCGGACAAGCCAGTGTGCCGATAATCTATATCTATCAAGCTTGTCCAACACCGGTGCATTGCAATAGAAGCTGTTTGAGATAACTATTTGAACTTGGATTGTGAAGAACCGAGGAGCTCGATGTGGCTATGCTTGGACTTGGAGAGCATATTATGTGTACATGGTTGTGAAGTTTTAAACTAGGACAGGAATTCCAGTAATGGAGTTGTGGGAAATCTTAAAGTTGGATGATAAAAAACCATTATGTTCGTTGCCCCTACAACTGAAGCTCCTTTGCGTGTAGATTTTCTGTTTAGTATTCAGTGTTGACGTTTCCATATTTTTTTTAATAATCTGAAAGTGATTATAAGGTAGCACCTGATTAAAATTTTTCTTAATCTATTTTTTTTAAATTAACCACTGATATTCGATCTATTGACCGGTTAATTCAGATCGAGTATTACAAAGACAAGGGCAATCTTCTCAACCCAGTTTGTTCCATTTGCAAAAGTCAGGATTTGAACCTTTGAGATATTGCTTAAGGAATCTAGTATCTCATCTCACTAGACTAACTGGTTGTTAGTAAAATTTTCCTAATCTTTTGATAATGCACAGCTTGTAGATGCAATTGCACGAATCCATGAATTTTAGGAAGAACAATATTTTCTTTTGCCATTGACTTCGATGCTTCCATGTTCTTAATTATGATCAAAATTGTTCGTTTTGATTTTCTTATTTTTATTGTGATTAAGATAACGGTCAAATATATATTGTGTGTATAATGTAGTAAGAGGGAAGCTGTCTATGAAGGTTGCAAATCTTATTAAATGTCCTTCTGGATTAGTAAATGTGCTTTTTTTAAGAGGAGAGTAATGGTTTAGGAGTATTACATTCTTGGAATTAAAGTCAAAATGATATTTTCAAAAGTTGGAAGCCCAAAGACAAATAAAGATACACATCAATACTAAACATATTGTTTAAAATTCATTTTTAAGAAAATAAATATAAATATTGTTTTAAAATTCATTTGTATTAAAATTTACTATAAATAAAATCATATAAGTCGTGAATAATTATTTGAAAAACATTGATGAATTGAATGTATTTACCTTCCCTTATAAGATTGTCTAAACTCGAAACTTAAGTCAATCAAAACTAAAATCTAATGTCAATAAGACTATAATGATATCTCTTGTTAATATACTATAAATCTAATTATATTTATCAAATTCATAAACGAAAGCTAATAAATCACCGTATCTTTATTTATAAAAAAATATTAAAGTTAAAATACAGATGAGTCTTTTATCCCAATTGTGGAGTTATAGATCTATTTGAAAAAGATAAATTCTATCAAAGGTTACCTAATTATGAATAAGTCTACAATTTGACGACAACACTTTCAAAACGTACAATTTGGTTATTTTATTTATCAATATATCAAAGTTAGAGCAAAATCAGTTCCTCGTCAACACTTTGTTATTGAATGCTTTTATACTTCACATCCCAATATCAAATCAAAATAATTTCACATTTGAATCATTAAAATCCGAATTACTGCAAAGTCGATCGATGATTTTCAAATTTTGATTCGAAAATTTTCTTATTGCCTAGATAATTTACTTAAAAATTTTATTAGTCTATTAACAACGTACACACCTCATAGATACAACTGTTCGAATCCGAATCTTTTAAAGAAAATAATATTCTCTTTTACTACTGAAACCATATTAAATTCTGACTAGATACTTTCAGATAGTTTTTTTTTTTTGTTACATTTGAATTAATAATTATATCGGATTTAGGTTAACACATCTCGCTAACAAAAATTTAAAGATAATGTAACACATTTCACTGAAAACCAAGTTGAAAGTTTTGGTGGATACAAAATATCTTACAAAAAGATTGTAGAACTTCCGTGGGAGCAGCAACACCACCATTGCCCCCCATGTTTGGTGACATACCACAAGTCACGTCCCCTGAGAAAGTCTTTTAATACCCTCTCTTCTGTGATCATTTGTAGCTTGCAAAAACCGGACTATCCGAGCCAAATTCGGTCTTATGGAACCAGTCATTTGTAGTACGCAAGGATTGGTCTATCAAAACCGGCTTTGGTGCCCGACAACTCTGAAGTTAAATCCTCAACTTTTCTGAATCCTATCTGCGAACCAGATACACAATTCTCGGATCAATAATTGACCGAACCATCTGATCTGTAACCTCAGGCATCATAAATGACAAAATATATACCTTGTCTAGAAGAATTTCCCGAAAGGAATCCGGTCTGTACTTGATGTCATGATAATTGCTTGCTGTTGTCTGCAATATATGGTAGGAAGTGCCGTAAGTACTGAGATTCACCCAATAATTGTTTGCATTTACTAAAAAGGAATAGAACTATACCTCAGAGACTTTGCGGTTCTTTTCATATGAATTCCAAGGTTGAGGTTCCAAGACGAAGACTCCACCCTGCTCGAGTTCATACCACATGCACTTCAGATGACTAATATTACATGAATTCTTCTACGGGTGAAAAGAAAATCGATACTCATTAATGAAAAGAATTTGGCTTAAATGAAATTACCGGACGTAGAAGTCTCCAAATCTTTGAGAATGCTGTAATCAAGCCATCATCACCCCAGTTCAGGTGAATCCACTTCGTCACACTCAAACTGTGTTGCAAAAGTACCCATTTGAAACAGAATAATGTATCAGTAAAAAGGACCACACTTCACGGATTAACCGGAACCATATATATAACAAGAGAAGCCTTACCAAAGAACTGTATCATACTGCTTATCAGGCAGTTGACTCCACACAAAATTTTCTTCTCGAAAAGAGACTATATCTGATAGATTTCTTTCACCGGAAGAATTATGATTTGGGTTATTGCTTGAGCCTTCATTTGAAGATTTAGTAGCACACTCCTCTGACCCGTTTACATCTTGTACAACCTTTACATTGGAACCATTTGTATTTTTCTTCTCAGCAGATTCTGTTTTCACAAATTTTCTAAGGTGCCAAATTGCTTCTTGTACTAGACCTAAGAATGGAAAAAATGAAATTTGCTTTAATCTTCCCTCGGTTTCAGGCTTAACAGCAGGTACTTCAACACTGGAAGCAACATAGCAGAACTAAGGCTTATCCAATAAAAGAGAAAAACTACAATAAACATAAGTCCGAATATCTATGTTCTCACAATATCAAGGCTGCTGTTAGGATCTTACCAGAATCGATGTCGATTCCAAGGATGCTCCCGCAATTGTACTTCTTTGCTGCATAAATATGAAAAGAAAAAAAAATACCAATGTTAACAAATACAACCCAAATACCTCTGAATCATCATCACATTTTTTTGTCAAAATCTTAAGCTAGAAGGGACACAAAACAGCATAATCCTTGCACCTGTTAAAGCATCGTGCATAAAAATGCTAGGGTAATGTATATTTTGGACGTCATTGCATTGAAGAGCGACCACTGAAGAACAATGCACACTCAAAGTTTTGTCCCTTCACTTTGAAGAGAGCCCCAGACATCTCTTGATGCTTGAACAGACAAACCAATGGCCACTAAAAGACTAGATTGGTATAAATCTTGCACCCATGGGCCATGACCACTACTATACTCAAAGACAGAAAACCTTGAGTGCATCCTTCTTCAGCGCAACAACACTCAAAGAGGACAAGAGCTTCACATTATCAACACCGAACTCTAATAGCACCCTAATGGCCTAACATTATCTCCAGCAGAAATAAAGAGTAAAAACACAAGCAGAAAATCCAAAAGAATGGTTCTTCATGTTATATTCTGGGAGGCACTGTCGTTGAATGTCCGGGATTTTATCTCCCGGTCATGGGAGGGCGCAATTCAAAGATCATGCAGTGCTGTGACTTAACAAATGCCGAGGGTAGTGTGATGGCGGAGACTTAAATGTAGAACCGGAGAACCTTAGTGCCCCTGATTCCCTGAAGCACCACAGTTATTCGATCCTGCAATCAAGTCCCGCCATCACACCATCCTTCAATCGGGTCTTGGCACACTGTCTCGGGATAGTGTGTAGAGAGACAAAATCCCGAGCATTCAACAGCAGTGCCGACCGCACAACGGGGAGATCACTCAACACTTCATAACACATAAAACCAATTTAGTAAAAAAAAGGTACCAATTTGGATTGTAATAATGCCACTGTTACAACCGATATCCAAGCAATCCTTCCCTTCAAACCACTCTTTCTTTAACACCCTAATGCGAGGATCTTCTTCTCTTTCAGCATCCCGTCCAATCTGATCATGCATATAAAAAATAAATAAAACCCATTTTTTTCATCAAATATAAAACAAAACAAGTAAATAAAAAAGGGTTTTTTTATTACTCTGTAACCATAATAGTGCCGGTAATTCCCGTAAGGGAAAACTTTTTTGATTTTCTTGTAGGGGTTACTCTTTGCTTGGGTTTCAACGCTGCGTTTCGTCGCTTCTCTATTGTTCCCGTTTCTTCCTTCTTTATCAGCCTCACCGTCTTGTTGTTTTCGCTTCTGCTTTCGGTTATTGCGCTTCTTTTCGTTGATTTCCGCCATAACTTCTTGAGGAAGAAAAGCAAGTGATGAAGAAGAAGAAGAAGAAGAAGCAGTGCAACGGCGCTTTCTATGACTTGATTCTTACGCTTTAGTGAAAGGGTTTTAGAGACAATCGGGTTTTGAAAAGAGGAGCAGCTTAAGCAGCTGAAAATGCTGCAGTGCTTTGTAGGTTTTATTTGCGTAAACTATACTAGTGGTCCATTTTATTTTTTATTTTCCTTTTTTAGACATATATTTTAAAAAAGTTATGTTTTGGTTCCTTTTATTTGTGATCTGTCTTATTTTGGTCTCGGTTAGGTGCTAATTATCGTTATTTTGATGACATTATATACTAGTAAAAATGTTAAAAGTTTAAATTGACTCTTAAATTTTAGATAAAATAATAATTTGACCCTGTATTTTAAAAAAAAATTAATTTGATCTTTGTACTTTAGATAAAATATTAATTTAACCCTTGAATATTATCAAAATCTCAGTTGTCGATCACATTTTACTATCTTCATCGATCATCATTTATTTTTTTGTTGTTGACCACTACTAACCATCGTCATCGACAATTGAGGAATCATAAAATTTTTAATTCACTCATTTTAATATGAATGTGTATCCATCATTTATTTTATCAAAAAATACCTTGAACTTCAAAAATCTATTGACGACAAATTCGAAAGTCGCTTCTTTTATTTGAAAGATGTAATGACGGAAAAAATATAGATACATTACATCTTTAAATTTGTAATGTTATTTAATAAATTAAATTAAAATTAAAAGTACATAATATATGTATTATGTTATTTTTTAAAATAAATGTTTTTCTAAGGATAAAATATTTATGAGATTATAAATAAGTTAAAAAATCATGAAAATAAATAATATGTAAAGTGTAGTTGTTAAAGGACTAAATGTCTGAAAAATTAAAATCACATATGTATCTTACTGTGGTTGACTAATATATTGTTCAAATTTAGTAAAATTGATTTAAAACGATAGAATAATTGAAGAAATAAAAAAAAGTAAAAGATAAAATTATAAAGTAATCAAATTATTCGTGAATAATTCATTTCCGTTTCCTTCTCGCTCTTCCCTCACTCAAACCGCGCACAGTTTTTCCCACCGACAAAACTCCGAGGATCTAGAGGTTTGCTGTTTTTTTGTCCTAAATTTCGTGTATTTTTTTTGTAGTTAATCAATCAATGCTTATGCTTTCAACTATGCTAAATCAAATCTATTGTGCAAAACACATCTGGGTTTTGGTTTGCTGATGCTCATTTTGGTTATGGAGTTCGTTAATGGATTTAGAAATATATTTCGTAGTGAATATAAAAGATGGGTTTTTTTAGTTGCATTCGTTGCTATCACCCATTTGTTGTTTCAGTCCTTTTTGCTTCCATATGGGAATGCTCTTAGGTCTTTGTTGCCTGGTCATGAGGATTCGGTAGAGGGTTATGAGAATGCTATAATTAGAGTAAAATCTACTGCAAAACCGGCGGTGGTACGAAATCCTCTTACCATAAACGCATCTGCTATGGGTACCAGGGATGTTATGTTTAGTAATGTGGTGCTGAAGGGTGGTGATAGTTTGAATTTGAATGTCCGTGGTGGTGTTGGGAATGGTGGCCATATAATGGAGGATCGCTGGGAAATTGAGAATGGTTTTGTATCAGAGGGTACGGATAGAGTTGGTGTCGATAACGATGATGATGATGATGAATCTGAGAATGGTGAAGATCTAAATGAGATTGCTGTGTTGGAGGATGTCATTCGGGATCAAGATGATTATGTAAATTCTACATCGAGAACGGAGTTGACAACTGGAGCTGGAAATGGTTTTGAGATAGAGCAGGTTGTGAAACACGGTCAGGAAGTGTCGACCGGAAAACTTGAGGATAAGATGAGTGAGGTGGCTAAAGAACTTGGGATTGTAAGTACGTCTTCACGGTCTCCTGCATTGGCCTCACCTATAGTGTCTTCAATGGCGAACCAGACATCAAAATCGGTGATTGGTAAACCAGGGAAGAAAAAGATGAGATGTGAAATGCCACCAAAATCGGTGAGTTCAGTAGATGAGATGGAACGCATATTACTACGACACCGTAGGTCATCTCGTGCGGCGGTAATCTATATTTTCATGAATGGTTAAATATTATGCTTGCTGCTTTATATATTGAATGTAAACAATAGAAAAGAAAACTGTTGTGTGATTGCAGAGACCTCGTCGTTCATCTGTACGTGACCAAGAAATCTTTGTCGCAAGATTGCAGATCGGAAATGCTCCCATCATAGTGAACGATCAAGATCTTTACGATCCTCTTTTTAGGAATGTTTCATCCTTTAAAAGGTAAGTCTACTTTAAGCGTAGCTCTGGATGATGACTACTATTTCTAGATGTGCACTAAACTGATTCTTTTCCATTACGACATTGCTTGGAATTTCAGCATCTATTATTGATATATCAGCCTATAATTTTCATTTTGTCTGTAATGAAAGATAGTACATTGGAGTAATATCTAATATCCATCTCGGATGAATAAAACCACCGGTGTCTTTTATTTATGTTTTCGAGGTAAGATCAAAGATTTTGGCTCACAAGCTGTCTTAAAAAGCCTTCTGCATTTATAGAAAGCTTGAAGACCGAACAGATAAATAGCTAAAGCAAAAGGTGTCAATCTTGGGACTTTGAATTCACTATTTTGTTTAGACTGTGGACCTGATTCTCTTCTCTCCCCAGTTCCGTATTTGTTTATTTATGTAATGCTTGGTGGACTTTGAGAAAAATGTTTTGATATTTTTGGTTCCTGTTAGGTTGGGGTTTGCTTATTGTTGTAAGGGTTATTTGGATTTATTTTCCATGGTTGTAATGATTATTTTCTAATGAAATATAAGGCACTCTTTTTCTCCTTCTGCAGATTAAGGAGCTTCTATACAAGCTCCATTAATCATGAAGGAGGTTTCTAATGAGGCCTTCAAATCTTATCAAAAAAAAAATGTTTAGATATCGAATGACGCTTTTGCACATTGCAGGAGTTATGAACTTATGGAGCGCACACTCAGAGTTTTCATCTATAAAGATGGGAAAAAACCCATCTTTCATCTGCCTATACTCAAGGGATTATATGCCTCGGAGGGATGGTTTATGAAATTGATGCAAGGGAATAAGCGTTTCGTTGTGAAAGACCCTCGAAGGGCGCATCTGTTTTATATGCCTTTCAGTTCCCGAATGCTGGAGTACACCCTTTATGTACGAAATTCTCATAACCGGACTAACCTACGCCAGTTTATGAAGGATTACACAGAAACTATTGCAGCAAAGTATCCGTACTTTAACCGAACTGGTGGAGCAGATCATTTCCTCGTTGCTTGCCACGATTGGGTATGTTCTTCATTTCAAGCATCGTTCTAGTTTCTTGGTTTTATCCTATAACTTCCATGGAACATGTTGTTGTGATTGAAATATGATAACTGAAATTTTATAGGCTCCATACGAAACAAGGCACCATATGGAGCATTGCATCAAAGAACTCTGCAATGCGGATGTCACTGCAGGTTTCAAAATCGGGAGGGATGTTTCTCTTCCAGAAACATATGTCCGGTCCGCAAGAAATCCTCTTAGGGATCTCGGAGGAAAACCGCCTTCTCAGAGGCATATTCTTGCCTTCTATGCCGGAAGCAATCATGGTTATCTGCGTCCGATCTTATTGAAACACTGGGAAGACAAAGACCCCGATATGAAGATCCTCGGTCCAATGCCTCCTGGTGTTGCAAGTAAAATGACTTATATCCAGTACATGAAGAGCAGCAAGTACTGTATCTGCCCCAAAGGCTACGAGGTCAACAGTCCACGAGTCGTCGAATCCATCTTTTACGAGTGTGTTCCCATTATTATCTCCGACAATTTCGTGCCCCCATTTTTCGAAGTTCTGGATTGGGGAGCGTTCTCGTTAATACTCGCGGAGAAAGACATTCCGAACCTGAAAGACATACTGATGTCAATAGGGCAAGAGAGGTATCTTGCTTTGCAACTCGGTGTTCGGAAGGTTCAACGACATTTCCTCTGGCATGCTAAGCCCGAGAGGTACGATCTCTTCCACATGACGCTTCATTCGATTTGGTATAACAGAGTCCACCAGATAAAACTCAGATAGTAGTAACATCAATGGCCATCGAAAACGACGAAACCGAGTAAAAATGTGATTATTCATGTATGCTATGTTTTTTCTTAGATATGTACATATGAACCAATGATATTTCCATTAGAATTGTTTCGGAATGACACTCGAGCTCGGATCATTTGGAATTACTTCGTTTCTGACTGTTTCATATTGATTTGGGCCATTTCACCAACCAGGCAAAACAGGGTTCAGTTTTCTTGCATGGAATTTAACTGAAAACTGCGGACCACTTGGAAAAACAGAAGAGTGAAGAGTGTCTACTTACGGCTCTTTGTCTATTAAATGAAGGGTAAAGTACATTATGGGTCACTTAATTATACTCAAATAATCCTTTTGGCTATTCAACTTTTAGAAATCGTAAAATAATCATTAAATTTATCAAATTGTTATAAAATAGTCATTGCGTTATAAGGATGATAATTTGACTCAAGCTCGATAGATTTCAATTTAATCCAATGCTATAAGGGTTGGGTTTTCTTTTTTCTCTTTGAATTTTGGTTTTAGAATGAATTTGAGTTTAAGATAAAAAGTATTCGATCTAATTCAAAAAAAAATAGTATACTTAACTTTATATACTTAAGGATAACTATTATACCATCTCTTTATATATATATATATATATATATATATATTAATTAGGTCTTTAATTTAAAAATAAAAATAAAAAAATTTATATTTTGATTAAGTTGGATTAAATTTTTATGTTAAGATTTGATTTAAATTTTAAATTAAATAAAACTTTGTTACAGTCAAATGACTTCGATTAAAAGCTGAACTTTTGTTTTTTTGAAATGAGATTGAAGTGGATCATTTCATGGAGTGAAAGCTTGATGGCATTTGTCCGCCATGCTTACCAAAGGGTCTGTTTCCATCACGTCACGTGTCTCTAACCAAACAGAGTCAATCCATATCCACTTACCTAATCACAAATCTCCCACACGGGTAGTTCCAATTACCCTTACATGCCGGCTTTTACAGTATGTCGGTTAAATGTAATAAGTTTTTTTTACCTAAGGTTTAATTCTGATTTTAGTCATTCTACTAGACTGAATTTAAGATTAAATCTTATTACTTTAATTTTACATAATTAGGTCTCTATATCTATAACGTTAATTATGTTATTATCTAAATTGACAATACCGTCGTATCGGACAACTGTATAAGTAAAAGTGTTTGCAGAAATTGAGATCTAAACTCTCGTGTATTTCACGAATTGATATTGTGGTGGTGCTTTCTTGTATTGTAGCACATAGTTAAATTCTCGTAGTTAATGTTGATATTTGATGTGGATATCAAGGTATATGGACTAAATATTTATTTAAGTTTGATATTTATTAATATTCATATAGAGATATAATAATTGTGACGGATTCTAACTATTCACTTGTTTTTATTTAAATAAAATTTATATATAATGTTGGAAAAAATATATAATTATCATGATTATTTGAGAGATAAAATTAAATGTAATGATATTAAGAGGAGGGATTTGGAGCATCCAAAATTAGAAGAAAAATACTCTTTGATTAGGGGTGACAAGAGACAAATGACCCTCTTGCTCCTAGAATCATAGTTCTATAGAGTGACTGAAATGGTGAGTGATAGGAGTTTCGATGGATTCCGTTGACACGTATATGTTTTTAAGATTGAATCTTAAACATCAAAATAATAAAGTGACTAAAATCAAAATTACACCAAAATCTAAGAGTTTGTAATTTGACATGTCTATTTAGCAGTTGTAATAATACTTTTTTCTTCTTCTTCTTTTTTTTGGCCTTCATTCAAAGTAATCACTTTCAAAAGATCAAAACTGGAATCAAATTTAGATAACGATATTATCTTCATTCGGCTGACGAAGCCATACATTCACTTCTTTTTAAAAAGAAGAATGAAAAAGAATTTCTCAGTGAATTTTTGCAGTTCTCTTTGCTTCAACACATAGCTTTCTTGGCAACTGGGTATGTGCATTTTCCATCTTATTTTCTTTCCTTTTATAAATCTGGGCTTTCAAAGCTCTCGGTTTTAAAAAACAAATTCTGGGTTTTTGCAGAGCTAAGCTACTCTTTGAGCCTTTTGTGATTTGAACTTTGAATTAATCTATTCGGTTTTTTTTTGGAGATTTCATGTTGCTTTATCTGTTTTATTTTCCTATCCCTCCTGTTTGGTTACTGAGAAAATGCAAAGTGTTTGTAGTTGAATGTGTCATTGGATTGTCTTAAATTTCCTTTTTTTTCTTTCTATGGAACAGGCAGTGCTGGAAGGTTTGAATGGCAGATTTGCACATCAATGGGGGATTTGCTGAAACTGAAAACCAATTATCTGTAAGTATTGATTGAAACCATTTCAGACAGTTTCCTAAAAATAGGAGGAAAAAAACATAAGTGGATCATGTCTTAATTACGATATAATGTTCTGTTCCATTGCATCATTTAAACTCTGTCGATTCTGATCCGAATCCGAAAATGATTTGAACAAGTAACCCGAAATAACCCGAACTAATGCAAAACTTGTTATCAGGTCCGTCACGATGTTGTGAATAATACATCACATATTCTGGACTTCCTCTTATTTTCCTCGCCAATGGATGACATTTTCACTTGTCTTTTACTTGCATAATATGGAAATGAATGTATGAACAAAATGATCGATTCTTCTATGACTCGTTCAAACTTTGCGATGGAATATGCCATTTCCGATTAGTTTAATAGCAATTTAGATAAAATATACAGAAGGTACCCTGACTGTATGCTTAAAGATCTGCTAATATAGCTGCAATGATAATGTTCATAGTAATGCATTCGTATTCCGTTTTCTTTTTCATTTACCCTACATGTAGTTGCTTCTATCTGGTTGTAGGTTGATGTTCCCATTCTTTGCTTTACGGCTTACTTGGCATCTAGTAATGGCCCCGTGGAGATGCACTTTCTACTATCTGAAACGCACGCAAGCACAAGTCTCTAGGTAAAACAAGTTGGTTTCTTTAACTTCATAAAACTTCTGAATAAGATTCCGAAATGAGAATCATATTCATGGTGAATGTCAATTTTTTTGTTCAAATGTTTCTATGTTCTTTTGTCATTCCCTTTTCAAATCTGACTCCAGCTGCAAAGTCTCGGATCTTTAATATTATTGGCAGGTTTGCTTATTTATAATGAATGTAACCATTTATGATTTTCAGCATTGTATCCCGGATGGAGAGAACATTACGTGGTTCTTCCGACGATATTGGGTGGTTGCAACTCACTCCTGGAATGGCTCCTTTCGAGGATGGTACAACTAGATTCCTGGAACTGCTAGAAGCCATAAGGTGCCAAATTAGTTTAATTTTGTCTCGGTCTTCCTAAATAATAAGAGATTATGCTGAATCGAGATCTTTGCATCCAGGAACGGAGAACACACATTGCCCAATTCATTTGTATATCTATTAGTTCCAGGTACGAGAATACCACGGTATCTTTCTTATTTCCTCGTTTATCAATTTGGGATTCGCTATAGCCTTCCTTCCAACATAATGTAGATTTCTAATTATTGTCAGGCCTTTTTAGCAATCATGGCCCCTTATATTTTGTGGGCACTAAGAGATTCTTTTCGAGAATGGGTCTTGTATGCCATATAGCGAAAATCCACAGCGAGGTAATCTAGAGTTACTCGTAAATCATCTAGTTTTGGGCATAAGAAAACTATTATTCAGGATTGCATCTTCGAATACCATGATTTGACTTGAGCTTTTATTGTCCTACAAAGGCATCGGTGGAGCACAATGCGTGGCAGCTGAAGCAATACATCGAGGAGCTTTACTGGGGGTCTGGTAAACGTGTAATGCTGCTCAGGCACAGCAAGGGTGGAGTTGATTCTGCCGCGGCATTGTCCATTTATTGGTCCGAGTTAGAGAACAAAGTTGCTGGACTGGCACTGGTCCAGAGTCCGTACGGTGGCAGTCCCATAGCCTCTGATACTCTCCGTGAAGGCCAGATAGCTGACAAAGAAACTCGAAGGATCATGGAACTTTTAATATGCAAGACAATTAAGGTAATCCTTTCCTCCGATGAATTAACGCCCGAGTGTATTCAGAAGTATAAGCATAGTCTTATATGTATACATATATATAAATATATGATGCAGGGTGACATGCGAGCGCTGGAAGATCTCACATACGAAAAGAGAAAAAAATTTGTTATGAAGCACAAGCTACCCGAGGGAATCCCTCTTATCTCGTTCAGCTCGGAAGCAATGGTGGCTCCTGGTGTTCTAGCTACGTTGACACAAATATCTCATGCGGAGCTTCCCCGGCTTCCCTTTCTGAAGTTCGGGAGTTCGGAGTTGGACAATGTCAGTGGACTTGGACACCAGGTGCCAATAGTAATTCCAGTTTCTGCTGCCATGGCTGTATGTGCTCTCCACTTGCTGTTGAGATACGGGGAGAGGAGTGATGGACTAGTGACGTGCCGTGATGCCGAAGTTCCAGGTTCCGTCGTAGTCAGACCGGAGCAGAAGCTCGACCATGCCTGGATGGTGTACTCTTCAAAGAAGAAGAATCCCGATGAGCCCGATGCCACCGAAATGTGTGAGGCCCTTTTGACTCTACTTGTAGAGCTTGGGAAGAGGAAGCAAGAAGAAAACAAGGAAGCCTGAAAGGATTATTCCATGCTAAGATTGATCCAGTGTAAAGACTGATTTCATCTTATGCTTCATAAGTCAAATGTAAAACTACAAGACAAGTCCTTGTATTACATCATGGAGTTCATTTTAGTCCGTATACTTTAAAAATGAGCATACATGTCCTTGTATATTAGAAAAACGAACAAATTGATGATTTCCGTAACAAATAAAAAACTATTTATTTTATGAGGTAGACTTTATATATAAGTTATAAATTTAGTTAAGTAATTTAATTTTAAAATTTGTAATTATATTTTTAAACTTTAAAATCTCAATTTTGACCCTATATGGTTTGGTTTTTATTTTTATTTTTTTGAAAATTCGGTTTAAATTGGGTTAGGTCGGGTTTTCTTTAACGATGAGATTAGGTTGAATTTGAGTTTAGTGTGAAAAATAGTTAGTTCAACCAAACTCAAGATAATTATATAATTATTCTTCAAATATTTATAAATAATTATAATAAAATTCATTTTTTTATATTTATAATTAGGTTCATATTTTAATTTATATATATATATATATATATATATATATCGGGTTGAATTGGATGTGGGTGCGAGTTTACCTCTCAAAAATTTGATTGAGTCTCAAGTCAATTGGAGTCTGGGTTAGGTCGGGTGATAAGTGAAGCAATTTAATACTCGGATCAGATTCGTGTTTGTTAAAAATATAGTGTGACTTTATCCATAATCATTCTTATATACAAATATAGTGTGACATGATCCATAGTCATTCTTATATATAAAAATCTACATACACTGAACTTAGATAAAATGAATAGAGAGTTTTATGAATGAAGATGCATGGAAACAAAGCAAACATTAGGGAGCCCAAGCAAAGGTAAAAGTGAGAGATGCCACTAGAGACAAGCCCAAACAAATCTCAAACCCATTAACCATTCATATCTTCAATCTTGAAAGAGTAAAGGGTAAAGCACATTAGAGGCCATTAAACTATACCCGAATGATCATTTTAGTAATTGGACTTTTAAAAGTTACATAATGATCATTAAATTTATCATATTGTTACAAAATGGTCATTAATTTTTTTATCAAAATATTATAAAATAGTCATTACATTTATCAAACTTTTACGATTGATTATAACATCACAATGAGCATTTTGAAACAGTTCGATGAATTTATTGATCATTTTATAACTCTCGAAAGTCCAATGACCAAAATGATTATTTTAACATAATTGAGTGACCTCTAATATACTTAATCCAAATATAAGATATATAGAAAGTCGAAGAATACCATAAAAATATATTTTGTTTTAATGATACATATAGGATTAAAAAATGATCACAATAGCAATATGAAGTACTTTCTTGAAATTCTGTATAACCTATGATCTATCAAATGTATTATCATTTCAAGGATTCTCCACTCTAGTTGGAATTTATTAAGTTTTAAAGAATGTGACCATGGTGGGGAATCTTACACTAAAATTGGGCTACTTTCCAAAACTAAAAATATGGATGGACTAAATTAGAAAGAATTTATTAAATAAATAACTCTTGGTTTCCTCCCATTATAAAACCATAATGCGCAATAAGTGTTTAAGTACACGATAAATAGATAAATTATCAATTTATGATTAAGTCATATGTATGAGAGGCTGAGCTCACCATCATGATTAAGAACGTCAAATAAAATAAATAGAGTTAAAAGAATTAATTATGGGATACGTTATTAATATATTATAAGAGATTGAGTTTCAATCTGATTAAATGTTGTACTAATCACTGTTTAGCATATAAAATTAAACAAATTTTATTTTAGTGTAACGATTTTGCCGGCAAAATCGATGGAATAATGCAACGGAAAAAAAATTCATGGAATAAAGCAGTCTATGAATTATTTTCTAATTTGGGGTGATTGCTATAGTGATCCACGAGGTCGTCGGCTGCTCCGAACAACCTCCACAGGTCGCCTAGTGCGTCTTCGGCTAAAAGTATAATTACCGATATATGTAATCGTTGTTACTTGGGGGAATTTAAATAATCGTCGTTCAGAGCACATGACGACCAACGCAGGTCGTTTGAAAGACATGACGACTTATGGAAAGCTATAGCATTCGTCCTAAATGGGCAAATAATCATTCGACTGTATTATTTGAACAAATTTTATTTTTTAACGCATTATTCCACATATTTTGCCTTAAAAAATCTATGGAAAAAAAATGAAAGAAGAGAAAGGTTGAAAAGCTAGATGTAGGGTAAAATAGTCAATTAGTTTAGGGTTGGTGAGGAACAAGAATAATATCATTATTGTCAGCATACACATTGGACAGTAAATATTAGGTGATAAATTTAAAATAAAAAAAATCAAAAGCGATTTTATAATTAATACAACGTTAGAATAACCCAACATTAAGGTTCTTTCAGATTCTATATATTATATTGTATAGTGAAATTCAAGATTAAAAACAAAACGGATTGATTCTTAGTTTGATTGTTATTATTTAGAGAGTATATTAAAATATATTTAGATTAGATTATAGGTAGTTTTTTTTTTTTTTGGATAAGTCAAAATTTTATTATCCAAATAGCAAAAGCTACAAATACAATCAGGGTTCAATACAAAACATTTACAATACAAAAATCAGTGGTAATCGATACTCCAATGTTTGTAGAGGGTAAGATTCGCATTATCTACTCTATTGTATTTCCTGCCATTAAGTTGAAGACAAACAATAGATTTGATATTCTTTAGAAGTTCATTTACAGGTCTAGTTCGACCTTGGTACAGTCTTTTGTTCCTTTCTTCCCAGAGCAAGTAAACCAATGCATTCAAAGCAATCCTCATTACAGTAGATAACAATGATTTTCCTTTCCAGTTTGAGCTCGCTATTTCCAAGAATTCTTCCCAAAGGTATCATGTAAAATGCAAACTAGAAAAAGAGAAAATGCGTTCCCATAGAAAAATAGCAGTAGGGCATAATAAGAAAAGGTGATCCCTAGTTTCCACATCAAAGTTACATAAAAGACAAGAGCAGTCATTAGTAAGACCGATTCGGTGAAAACGATCCTTGGTGGGTAGTCTGTCAAGTAGAGCCATCTAGGTTATCATACTATGTTTTGGAATGTGCAGGGAAAACCAAACGAGTTTTTGCCAAGGGACCTTCTGATTTTTAGACCGAATAGAGTCCCATATCGAGCTTGCATTGATAGGACCCGGATGAAGGAAATTTTGCACCTCTGGTCTCAATTTAAGAAGTCTTCTGAGACACCAGCTTGTGTTAAGCTTAGCTTCAATAGACCAAAAATCTTTGTTCTTAAAAACATAATTATGAAGCCAAACTACCCAAAGTGAGCCTTCACCAGCAAGAATTTGTTTGATTAAGGCTAACATGCAAGCTTTATTCCAGGTCTTAATGTCTTTGATCCCAAGACCACCTTTCGATTTCAAGGAGCAAATTTTACTCCAACTCACACGTGCTCCTGTTGCTGATTTGTCAGAACCTTTCCAAAAGAAGCGGGAACAAAGATGCTCAATTTTTTTCAAGATTGAATTAGGCAGGAAGAGTTGTCTACACCAAAAATTGGTAATTGAAGCTAGCACAGTTCGGATGAACTCCAGTCTCCCAGCGTAGCGGAGCAGTTTACTAGACCAATGGTGCAATCTAGATTTGATATTATCGATGAGGATCGCACAGTCTTTTTCAGAGATTTTCCTTGTGAGCAGCGGAATTCCTAGATAACGCACTGGCAAATAGCCAAGATTAAAGCCAGTAGCTTGCTTGATAGTCTCAATCGTACCCGAGGACATTCCAGCTGCATAGAATTCACTTTTATAGGCGTTAATTTGGACTCCTGACATCTCATAAAAAGTGTCCAGGACACTAGTGACACTGATGACTGAGTCATATGAACCCTTACAAAAGATGAGTAAATCGTCTGCGAAAGATAAGTGGGTCAAGTTAAATCTTTTGCACTTAGGGTGGTATCCGAAAATATCCTTGGCAGCAGCCAAATTTAGGAGGAAAAAGAGGACATTCATGGAGAGAACAAAGAGGAGGGGAGAGAGGGGATCTCCTTGCCTTAAGCCTCGAGCTCCCTTAAAGAATCCAGATAAGCTCCCGTTAATGGAGACTGAGTAGCTTGCTGTGGTATAGCAAGTTTCAATCCAAGAAATGAAAGTCATAGGGAGTCCTATAGCCTGCAAGATGGTAGAGATGAAGCTCCAGTTGAGGGAATCAAAAGCCTTGTGGAGATCAATTTTCAAAGAGCATCTAGGAGATATATTCTTTCTATTGTAACCTCTTACCAGCTCTTGTGCAAGTAATGTATTTTCTGTGATGCTTCTACCTTTTACAAAAGCTGTTTGGTTAAGAGTTACTAGTTCAGGCAGGATACAAGTTAATCTTTTTACCAGAATCTTAGAGATAGCTTTGTAGAAAACATAACAGCAAGAGATTGGTCTAAAGTCCTTAACTTTACTAGGGTTAGGGATCTTAGGAATCAAAGCAAGGACAATAGCGTTAAAAGCAAGCAGAAGGTATGAATCTTTGAAGAATTGAGAAATAGCAGCAATAATGTCGCTTTCAATAATAGTCCAGGTTTTTTTGAAAAAGAATGGAGAGAAACCGTCTGGACCAGGAGATTTATCGTTTCTTTGACTAAAGAAAGCCTCTTTAATCTCCTCTTTAGTGACATCCTTAACAAGGGCATCAGTATTCTCAAGAGGTAAAGTAAACTGACAGAGGTCCTTTAACAGTTTGGGATCCGTGCCCTTTACTGCTGGATCAACTTTCCCAAGTAAACTAGTGAAGAAGTTAGTGATCTCAGTTGAAATTTGATCAAAGGTTTCCAGCTTGTTACCTTTCTCATCAATGAGGGTACGAATTGTGTTTCTTTTGCTTTTAAGGGTAACAGTGGAGTAAAAGAATTTAGTGCATTTATCACCCTCCTTCAGCCATTGGACTCTAGATTTTGCCTGTAGAAAAGAGTTTCAGCTTCCTCAAGATTTTTCAGTTCATTCTGGAGGAGAAGCTCTTTTTCAATGTCATCGTCTCCACAAAGAGTCTTAAGTTACTAGAGTTCAAGTTCAAATCGTTTATATTTAACCCTGGCATGAAGGTCACTATAGGAAGAATTGTTAAGAGCCTTTAGACAAGTTTTCACCATTTTGAGTTTAGTGAAGAGAGACTGCATTGGATTCCCGTAGGTTGGTTTGGACTAGGTTTGTTTAACCTCTTCCAGAAAGTTTGGGTGATGGGTCCAATAATTAAAAAACTTAAAAGGCTTAGGTATGTTTACTTCAGTTACCTTATTAAGCCAAACTTTTGCAAAGCAATGGTCTGAAATTCCTGGAGCTTGGAACTCAACATGCGAAGTCTGAAATAAATTTGCCCAATTTGAATTGATCAAGACACGGTCAAGCTACCTAGCAAGGAATGTATTATGTTGTTTGTTGCTCCAAGTGTGAGTAGGGCCAAAGAAAGGGTGGTCAGAGAGCTCCATATCAAAGAGAGCGTCCTGGAAATCTCTCATATCTGAAGAAATAATAGGACCCAGGATGTCACAATCGGAACTTTCATTCGGGTGGAGAGTAATATTAAAATCTCCACCGAGGATCCAGGGTTGATTGCTAATTTTAGTTTCAAGATCCTTAAACTGATGCCAAAGGAGCCTTCTAGCAATGCCATCATTGCTTCCATAAACATCAGTGATGATGAAAGGAACATTTTGGTACTGGCCCTGGATAGAGATACACTGATCAGAGGTTTGGATTACCGAGAAGATGATGTCTTTTTTCCAAAAGATCCAAATTCTTCCATTGGAAGCATAATCGTAGTTAGTGTGAGCAGTCCAACCAACAAATTTTCTATTAAGAATTGTTGCGCTTTTATCCTCTTTCACTCTAGTTTCAAGCAAGCATAAAACATCCACTTTATTAAGTGAAGCTCTTCTTAAAATGTTGTCTTGCTTTAGAGGACAGTTTAGTCCTCTAACATTCCAGAAAGCAATAATCATTTGGGAGGGGTAATCAATGAACTTCCACTAGCATTACAAACTTTTAACTTTGATTTGTCTAATTTAGTTTTCTTTTTTGACTTGAGGTCGTTGATTATGACAACTACTCCTAATGAAGATGCACGAGGTTTTTTCGGGAGGTCTTCGGTTACCTGAGGGAATTCCTCAACTTCATTTAGGATTTGGAATATGTTAGTGGAATCAAGGTTCATTATAGGTAGTTTTAGTATTGTAAAATAATTTAAAATAAATTATAAACGTTGTTATTAAACTTTATTTTTATTTATACTTTAATCACTAAAATTTAAATATTCTTAATTTACTATTCAATTCAATTTTTATATTACTTTTATTTTGATTTATCTAAATCAAACTTATAAAATCAGACTAAAACCCTAAACCAAGAAGAAACATGATAATGGTGAACGAATGAGTAAATGAGCCATTCAATATGGTAAGTGGCAACCACGGCCGCGGCGCAGCTTCCTGAGGCCGGCGGCTCTGCCAGCTGTTTTTAATTTTGTGAACCAAAACCCCTACTTCCCACCATAGGAGGACCCTTCCTTTGTACTCTTTGACACCCCCTAAGCTTCTAGGTACTTCCCTAACTAACAGTCATTAATTTTAAAAAAAATATTAATTTTAGTATTTTGTGTAAAAAATATTAATATAGGTAAACGTGATAGCATCGTCATTAATATTTGCTGCTGATGGTAGGGGTCTAAAAATGTTAAATTACATAAAAGGTCCCTATATATGTTTTTTTAGTATTAGTCATTCCATTATAATTTGATTCTTTTTAAAGATAAAATAACATTTAATCTCTAAAGTATTTTCAACTCCTTTACTATTTTCTTGGTTCACAGTAGTCTAGAACTTGGATCACACTCTCAGAGTGTTTTATCATCAAAATGATAAGAAATAATATTTTTAATTAAGTTTGAAGACAAGAATCAAAATAAATTAGGGATAAAGTTGAGAAGAATTGTTAAGTTTAGAGATTAAGTAATAATTATCTAACATGATGAAATATTAAATCTCTTGAATGATGTTAGACTTTGAATTTTGATATTATAAAAAGGGAAAATTAAATTGAGAGAATTGTCCTTGTGATGAAACTTTCTATATCCTATTCAAATTAATCAGTCAATGAATCATGTAATGGTGGTTATATAAAAAGTAATCGTGAAAAGACTGAATCAACTAAAAATACATGATACAGGGACCTTTTATGAAATGTGACCTTTAAAAAAGGACCAAAGCCATGTTGGTGTTGTTTATAAGTATGCGTGTATCACTCCAGTCAGCACTTAAATACCCCATCTTTCTTCACATAATCAAAGCTCTCTGCCACTCTTCTAGTTTTGCTGAGAAAAATAACAAGTTGGCAAAGACCCATCGGAAAGTTGCTCGCTTTACATATACAGCATCAATGGGTGACTCACCAAACTCGGAAACTGAGTCGTGTACGGTTAGCAACAACTCGTCGTCTTCTTCACCTTCAACATCATCCTACGGCAGCGACAAAAGATTGGGTACTGAACTGCGACCCGACCCGAAGAGGGAGAAGCGTGCGAGGGATAGTAGCAAGCACCAGGTTTACCGCGGGGTCCGAATGCGAGCGTGGGGGAAATGGGTATCCGAAATCCGGGAGCCCCGAAAGAAGAATCGAATCTGGTTAGGTACTTTTGCCACTCCAGAGATGGCGGCACGTGCCCATGATGTGGCGGCTTTGAGCATCAAAGGCAACTCGGGGATCCTCAACTTCCCCGAACTCGCCCACTCGCTGCCCCGACCGGTTTCAAACTCGCCACGTGACATCCAAGCCGCCGCCGCTAAAGCTGCTGCAATGGAGTTCTTGAGTAATACTGGCAGCGACAGTAACACCGACGCCACTTCACCTTCACCGTCTTCATCGTCGTCGAACGAGGATGACATGTCGACGCCAGACGAGCTTAGCGAGATAGTAGTGCTACCAAGTCTGGGGACGAGCTACGAATCGTCGGAGTCGGGGAACGAGCTCGTATACGTGGACCGGTTCGATGGCTGGCATTTTAATCCCAGCGGTATTCCTTGGTATTATGAAGAAAACTTTGGGTACTTTGGGGATGAAATATCATTTCAAATACAAGAAAGTGTTATTGCCACTGGGTTTGGTCCTTTACTATAGGACCATTAAAATTCAAAGTTAACAATAAAAACTCTTTCACAAATTTTGTTTCTGGGTAAAATTTTTGTAATAATTATTTTGTAACGATTCACTAAATTAGTGATAACTCGGTTTGAATTTTAATTTTTCATTATATATTTTTAGATTATTAGATTAATTGATTTTAATAGTTGAGATTCTTTTAAATTTGAGGATAATTCAATTTTCCCCATAAAAATCTCTTTATTTATTATTATTAATCTTAATCATGTGTATTCATCCATATAACAATTTTGCAATATTTATAATTTTATATTACAATTTTATATCGTTATTTATAAATATATTTGATAAGGGTTTAATCGTTTTAAAAATGTTCTCCCAATGCACATACTACACACAAAAAAAAGCAAACCGAACACCTTGCAGAAGTAAATTGGGGGAATAAATTGTTGATATTGATTATTATAAAAAAAAAAATAAATTTAAGAAAAGAGAAAGGGTAGTAGTACAATAAATGTTCCGTTAGAGAAGCTTATTCCTTTGATAGATGCATGCCAACTGCCCTCTATTGTTTACTCTCGCATGCCCTCATATAATGTATTTATGTTATGCACATACATATCATTTTGTGGTGTAGGTTAAATGTCAAATACACTAACTTTAGAACACTCATTAATATACATACATATATACATTTGTGATGTATGTTAATGTCAAAGACATCGGCCTTAGGCCACTCACATACATATTCGAGATAAAATATACTCCCTATGTTTCGTAAAAATGTCTTTTTTGTATTTCTAAATTTTCCTGCTTAAATTGTCTATTTGAAAAAATTAACTATTTTTACTAAATACATTTCCCTTTCTACCCTTTTTTTAGTTTCCCAATAAAATAAAGTTTAACTTTTTAAAGATAAAATTATCATTTTATTTTTTTTATAACACTTCCACAATTTTCTCTCTCCAAAACTACGTAAAAAATCAACGGTGGACAATAAAAATGGGATAGAGGGAGTATTATTTTCTTCCAAAGTTGTGAATAATTCTTAGAGGAGCAACATAACAGGTATTAGAGGATCACAATCCTTTCAAAATTTAGAAAAATTATCAATAGGTATTTTGAAATTTGTTATAAATTTTTATTTGATCTTTTAAAATATTATGTTATGGTTTTTTTATAATTATTTTTTTGCAAGATAGAAGTCGTTAGTTTTATTAAAAACAATAAAAGTTTATATTCACAACCGTAAACTAAAACACATAATAATAACATTTTTCTATATTTATTAATAAAAAAACATAATAATAATAACATTTTTCTATATTTATTAATACGAAAAACTAGACACTTAAAATCACACAAAGCCTATATGAATATATATGTATTTATGAAATAATTTAAATTAGCATGATCAAAATATAAATTTCATGTATTTAGCTGAAATTATCATAAATATTAATAAAAAAAATAAGTGATTTAAACTTAATTTTTAAATGATTAGTTTATGTTACAAGTAAAATCTTCAAAATTAACAAATATTGATAAGATATAATCTATACACACACAGTAAACTAACATTTGATTTTTTTTCTCTAATTTTTGAATTGATAAAAATTGAAATTTTTCAATAATCTCACATTATTTTGAACACTTTTCGGGACAGATTCTTACTAATTTATTCAATATTTTAAGATTTTTTTGGTACAAATTACATTTTCTTTTCAAAAAATCACAATACAAAATATGTCAAGAAACTTACTCTGTGTAGTTACATACAAACATATATGGTTTAGCAGACAGAATTATTATTAAAATAATTATTCAAAATAAAATGCATAGTTCTATAGAATTTTTTGATTCGATTTTTTAAAGAATGAGATTGTGATTCGAACCCCCATACCTGTATGAACATTGATAAATGTGAATTTTATAATAGATTTTTAAAAAAAAAATAAAATAGACAGAGAAGTCAAACTCCATGACCCATTGCATAGCTGGACGATGTGAGAGCAAAGGCAAAGACTATAAATTATGGGACCCCATTCTTGGTGTCACCACATATGTCCTTCCATAAGCATATGAATATATAATGCAAAATAATAATAATTCCAGCAATTTTTATGTGGTTGGGAATCGAGAAACCTCAAATCTATCAATTGAGACATATAAAAATTTAAATACATAAAATTTTAAAAATATTACGTTACAAATATATTGCTCCATCGTTTAAAATATTGTTATGCATATGTTACTCCACCGTTAAATTTGAAACAAAAGTTTATCGCGGTATGATAAAATAAAAAAAATCAATCCTCAAAACTTATATACTTATATAATATATCAATTTGATCCTAATTCAAAAAAAATTATTTATATTTAATTTTTTTTTATCAATTTAATCATTTTCATAATACTATCAAACCAAGTGAGTCTATCGAATTAAAGCAATAATTAACTATATTTTACCATAACAGACTATTGATAAAAACCTTCCACCAATGAATATTAAAGCAATAATTAACTATTGAACAAACTATTGATAACAAAGTATCTGTGTAACTAAATCTATGATTGAAAGATGAGATTGATCGATGGCTGATACAACCTGCACTCGATTCTTGGAAAGCATCAACAAAACATGAAAGAAAATATTCTCTAAATGTATAACAAAAAACAAATTTCATATGTAAGACTCCGTCAACTCTCCTACGTAATATTTCATACATAATAGTATTTTATTGACAAAATTTAACATCATATAAAATATTAAAAGTAATTCGAATCAAATAAGAGTAATATAACATTTTTTAAATTAATTGTTAAGAAATTCGGTTTCTCTTGTAGATTTTTTTATTAATTTTCTCGTAATTGGTCCCACACGTGAAGTTTTAATTACATCGTTGATCTTTGGTTTCTAAATGGAGTTAATTGGGATTGAGAAATCACAATTTCGAAGTGTCTATTGTGTTCTTGCTTCATTAAATAAATAAATAAACAATTGAACATTTGTGCTTAAATAGTTTAGGGTTTCTTAAATTGTGTCAAATTTGTTAAAACAAAGCACACATGATCAGATCCAGCTACTATCATTGTCTTTCATTTCTTGCATTAAGCTGGCAAGGTTTGAATTTACAATATAATATAAGGGTTAATATCATATTTAACCCCTGAATTTTCACCAAATATGTAATATGGTATCTAACAATAACCATTAAAATTGTTAAATTTAAATTTTAGTATGAGTTATTGGAGTATGCATGTATAAGTTGTAGGTCTAATTTATGATCTTCATTTCGATCATTTTTAATCCTTGTAGTTTAATTATTTATCCCTAATAATATTTATATCAAAATTAGAATTTTGTAATTTAAAAAGTACAAAAACTAAAAACATTCAAATCAGATAATGATAACTAAACTCACAACTTACACATAATAATACAATGCGCAATGATAAATTTTGACACACACGTGTGTGTGTGTATAACATTACACATTTCTTGGAAGTATAAGAATCGAATGAGAAATAAATATACTTTCAGGGATGGACGTATATAGAGAGCGAGAGAAGTTAAACGTAGCTATATGAACCGACTAAACGTGCATTAATTAACTTTATCCCTCTTGTATATAAAGAACTTTATCCCTCTTGTTTATAAGTTTGCATGCATTTGAAACCTAGCTATATGAACCGGCTAAACGTGCATTAATTAACATATAAGCAAAACTAGGATGGGTACCACTTTCAATTGGCTAGTTAGATTAAGGCTAGGTAGCTAGCTAGGTTAGGAATTATTTAAGATTCGAATTAATCAAATCAATTGAATTATTGAATTAAAAGTATGAGGTGATATTATGGATAACAACGAGTAAATGATCGCAAACACTAAAAACAAACAAATTTACGTGAAAAATCTTAAATAGAAAAGTCACATACGTAAAAACATTTCTTACTATAGTCAACAATAAATTATAAGATGATATATGATAGTACATCAAACTGTAAAATCTTAACTATATATATGAAAATATTCTAATCATTTAGATTTAACGTGAAATATATTTAAAACATAGATTATTTAAGAAAATTATATATTCGTATTAAATTGATGTTATATATATGGAAAATTAAAAGGTAACGTCATTAAAATTTATGAGGACTATTTTTAGCACGTTACCCATGGTTGTTGATAGAATGATAGGGGCCGTGTCCTCTCTAAATGGTATAATTGTAACTTTAATCCCTTAATAAGTATAATTTGAAAATTAAGGTATTAGTAAAGTTATATTTTAACCCAGAAGTATAAAAGGGACCCAAGTTTTCTATGCAAAACCATTAGCTTTCTCCGTAATCATAACATTGTAATTTAAACCATGAAGCAATGCAACCCATCCATCCATGCATATGCATTAGCTTGTTATCATTTCTTTTGACCCCCACTATCTTAATCCCTTTTGCTCAATTTGATCCAAAGGATGAAAATGATATTTTTTAAAATATATATTTAATTGGATACTAATGCTAATCATAGTAATTAACAAACACCCAAGCCTAGTCTTGACTCTTGGCATAAAATTAATGATGAAATATAGCATAATCATAAGCACACTTTTCTTATTACTTTAATTAATTATTTTTAGATTTTGCAAAAATGTTGTGTTGTGATTTGCTCTTAGGCCATGGGTGTCGAGAATTCATAGTCCAGCAATTGCTATCCTCCTTTATAAGTCAAGCACTTAAAAGATTATTTTTGAAAAATAAATAGTTCTCATTAATAATGTCTAGAAGATTATCTTTTACATACATTACAAAAAAATTATAGCAAATGGAATATAGCAAAGCTTATTATCTAAAATCGTTGAAAGCTACAATTTAAAAGGGGGGAAAAGTGCTCCCTTTTTGCTTTTGTTTTACACGTTCGCGTTTACTATTTTCCCTCTTGGTCTGGCTATATAATGATTAAAATATACTTAATATTTAAAAATTCGATTGTATGTGGTTTCATCAATTAATTAAATAATAATTAACTGATTAGACAAGAAAACCTTAACATCTGTT